GGAAGGCCCGGCGGCGGCGGCCATCTTAGAGCCGGGCAAAGCGTGCGAGGGACCGGGGGGACGGCCCTGGCGCCGGGAGGAGGGGAGGCTTCTGAATGCATACGTGTATAAAAGTAGCTCTAAAACGAGCGCCCTCCCTTTCGAAACAGGCTCAGGAGATGTAAAGGTGGAGGTAAGAACTAAAAGAAAATTGGAAATAGAATCTCATGTTGTAACATCAGGAGAAGCAGAATTGGTGATGTCTGTACCAATGCGATCCAGGCACAGGTGGCAAGCAACGGTTGCATCTTGAGCTCGAGAAGGATTGTTAATGCATTAAGACTCCAAGTGAGCAATCTTTTTCTTCTTCTTCTTCTTTTTTTTTTTTTTTGTAAAAGGGAGAAAAATCTTCTTGAATAATGACTTCCATTTTTCCCTTATCTGTCTCCTGACTTGATTTCATTTTACATTTAATTCAAATGCAAAACATACAGCTGTACAATAGAAGACCAGCTGCATTATGAGCTACAGGGACTGGTTCAAGCATAGCCAGCAGTGATCCTTCCCCTCTATTTAGCACTTGGGAGACTGCATCTGGACCGCTGTGTCGAGCTTGCCCCCTCCACCCCAAAACCAACAAGGACGTTGACATCCTGAATGGAGCAGGCCCAACAGAGGGGCTTCATGATAGTCAAGAGAAGGTGCACATGGTCAAGGGTCAGAGCTGGGTTTGTTCAGCTTTAAAAAGAGAAGGCTTTACGGAGACCTTGTTGCTGTCCGCAGCCACCTCATCAGAGGATACAGAGAAGGACTCTTCACAGAGTTGCACAATGATGGGACAAGAGGCAATGGACACAAGTTGGAACATGGGAAAGTGGAGTTAGCTATCAATATTATTTTTAATCGTGATAGTTGTCAAATACCAGAATGGATTGCCCAGAGAGGTTGTGAAATCTCTGTCCTTGTTCAAGACTTGGACACAGACATGAGCAACCTCATCTAGTTAGAGCTGGTGTGGGGGGGGGTGGGGAGTTGGACTAGATGCCTCCAGAGGTCCTTTGCAACTTGAGTTATACTGTGATTCTGTGAAAAATTTAAGCATTCCATTTTTCCTGATAAATATTTAAGAGAGAATCAGTTAAATTGCATTGGGCAACCCCAAGGACCCTAATTTATGAATTTCCTTGTTAAATTCATTGCATTAGGGTAAATCAGTGTTCAAGCTGACTAATGCAATGATTAATACCAAGTTAACACGCTGCTCTGAACAGTCCACCTCACTCTTTTTAACAGCACAGCCTGTGAAAGAAGTAATCTGATGGGCTATTTGTTTTCAGTCGGTTTCACTACCTTGGTCACAATAAACAGCAGGGAAGAGTTATCTTAGAGCATTCTGCATCACTGCAGTAAAACCAGGCAGCCAAAGCCTGCAAACCTCAAAACACATTGACTTACTAATTACTCACATCTGACAATCAATTCCTAAATACCATGCTAATGATATTTCAAACATGGTTTGTAAAAGCTGATCTTCACGTTTCAGCTGAGGAAACTCATATGCAACAATTAAAACTAAAAGCACAACAAACATGTATGGATTGTACCAGCTGCTCAATACCAATAAAGACAAGACTGGAACGATCAGATTTTACACATTCCTCCTAGATGAGTTGTTTTACCAGCATAGATGACTTTAAACAGGATCTTTAGCCTTTATAGTGTTAGATGATGAAGCATTCCTCTCTCTATACTGCAAAGCCATTTTCCTTCTCCTCTTTCCCCACTTTGAGTTCCTGGCTCCTTACAAAGAAAGCATCCAAAGCTCTTCAAAGCAGTTGTAAGATGTTGAAAGTTCAACCAGTGATCTATTTTACTTCTCAAAAGCTGCAACAGCAGAACTCAGTGTAGTGAAAGCCCTGAAGGGGATATTTGCCATGTAGAATACTATTTTGGAATGTGAGAAATTAAAAGGTGACGGACATCGATACATCGTGAAGAGCCTGATCCAGAAAACAGAGAAGGTTGATCTCCTCCTATACTGCCAGCAAGTCAAAGAGCACTGCTTTGCCAAAACTATTACTGCCTGTCAAAACTAGGGGAAAGTTCGGGCACCCTGTCTACATAGTAAAACAACTAAATTAGAAAGAGATGCACCTTGCCCAAGAATTTAACAAATGGCTCTTCCCTCCTGGATCAGGGAGGTTACTAAAGGAACCCGTATCTGCATTCTGGAAGTTCAATATGAACCTAAACAGGCTTGAAGTAAATACATACCGTCAGCCGTTACCAGTGCTGTAGTAAGTGCTGCTAATTAGACCATACTTCCAGAAAAATGGCCCTACTGGGTTGAACAGCTCATTCAGCTTAGTAAAAGCCTAGGGAAAAAGTGCAAGACAGGACCTTTATAGCTGTCCTCTTCCTGCGGAAGGCTTCCAGCAATCAATGGTTATCTACTGACCCGGGAGTTGCATCTTAATCTTTGTGTGTAACAGTCATGTGGAACCGTCCATTCCTTTTCTGAACTTATTTCAACTTTTTGCCTCTGCAACACCTTGCAGCCATGCATTCCATAATACAAATGCTTTGACCTTTTGTTTTTTTTCCTAAGTCACTTACAAACACAGGGTGCTTCTTCATGCACCTTTCAGATCAAGGGTTCAGAGAGGCAAACTAAATAATGACTTACGGAAATCCTAAAGCAATCCACTGCATTTCAACGAACAGTCACAGATTTAAGTAGTCAAGCTTCTGGTTCAGAAATTAAGAAATATCACCTCAATTTAGTACACTCCTGACTAGACAGTAAGCTTAACAGTTCCTCACGTCCCCAGAAGGAATACTAATAATTAACAATAATTATCAGGGCCTTAGAAACTTTTTATGCCTCTGGATGTAGATCTAGAGTTAAGTTAGTACTCCTGCTGTTTTATCCTTCAGGCAAGAACTGCTCCTCAAACCTCAGCTGGATCTTCCCTGCCACCTGGGTCACTGCATCCATTTAAAGACTTATGAAACATCTTCTAGTGCAGCAGATCCTCTGAGGAACCCCATGTTTTATGGCAAGACGCTGTTTTCTTTTTCAGTCTGCGAATGCAGACACAGCTATTTCTTAGATTAACTCTCTTCAGTATCGCAGACATAGCTGAACAGAACACGGCACAAGTTATGAAAGTGTTTATTCAGGACCGCTAACAGTTTGGCAAATTAGCGCTTTCCACCAACACGGGGAGCAGAAACCTTCACTGGTTTCACAATCTTCTGCTTAGGTGCTGCCTTTGTGGGAGCCTGTAGAGAAACATTGAAATATGAGTCAAGGGAAGCAATGCGTGTGTCTCTACTTCATTCTTAAGATTCTTGACATAAGTTAGGTGATGTAATTAAGATATTCATTTCGGATCAGAGTCATGTTAGCAGACTGTTACCACACATATCACTGTAAACCGGCAACACCTACGATGCAAGTAACATACTAAATTAAGTCCGAAGTAATAATAAAGTACATGCAGAGGCTCTCATCAGTGTACCGTTACAAAGTTCTTAGCTAGTGGGAGATATCACATCTTCTTAGACAAGCTTTTAGCTATCAGCTGTCTCTCAAGTGGTCTCTGATAAGGCAGTGGTTTTACAGCAACACTTTTTCTTTAAAAAAAAAGTTTGTTCTATTCAGCTGTTCATGCATGTTTAACTTCAGTACAAAAATTTTCAACATGCTTCCACATCAAAATGGATACGAAAAGGCTTCTTCCAAAACCATATGAGAATTTCCAACTAAGTGCTGCAACAGGTTGTTGTTACAACATGGCATATTCCAAACAAACACCAAACAAAATTTCTATTACCCTATTGTATCTTACCTTTGCAGCAGAAACAGCTGTTTTCTTAGTTGCCTGTTTAGCCTTCTTGGCTTCTTTTGCAGCCCTGTTTGTTTCAGAGCAAAAAGAGTAAGTTATTCATGCCTGCATTCATTGTTTCTTTGTCTCTTAACTGTGAAAGCTCCAGAAAAACATGTACGGAATGCATCATTTCAGGTTTATGCTCTACATCCAGTACCTCTGGAAAGACTAATACAGGGACAGCAGAACGAAGTGTGAAAAAAGCAGCATTTCCACAAAGGTAGAGGGCAAAAAAAGACCCACTGCTGATGGCTTCTGCTGCTAAGATCACCCTCAAATATGCTGATCTAAAGAAAACAACCCACCAACAGCTTTTAAAACATGGGGCTCATCTACAGTTTAAAGGCCTTGTAGAAAAAACATTTATAATCTTTGAAATGCCTAGCATGGCTCCAGTTATCTGATTTCTTACCTAATAGCTTGCTCCCTCTGCGCCTTTCGTACTTCAGGCTTCTGATTTCGTTTAGCCATAATCTCAGCTAAAGATGCACCAGTAATAGCCCTTTGAAACTTAACAGCACGGCGCGTGCGCTTCTTCTGTATCTCTTCCTAAAACGGCAGGAGATGAAGACAAGCAATTAGTATCACAAAACATAAACAAAAGGCTAAAGACAAACACAGGAACAAGTTGCCATTAAAACTGAAGCTATTACAAAACTGTATACATAAGTAGGACGTTATCCCTCACTTTAGAGGCAACTCTAATTTCCCAATTTGCCAAAGCAGACTACTAGCTACAAATGAAAAATGTGTGTTTTGGTATCCTACAAAGGAAAATACCACCACCACCAAACAAATAAAACAAACCCCACCAACCACCCACCACTTTAGGAAGAAACGTCGGAAGTTCACCCTTCTGTAACCCCCAGAAAAAGGGGAAGAGAAAAGAAGGGAAGAGGTTTAAAAAAAAAAAAAACAACAAAAAACCCCAAACAAACAGGTTTGATGTAATGTTCTGAATGGAACACAACACTTCCCACTTGTTTCAAGGGGTATCGTGATGCTAGGCAGTATTATAAACCATCAAGCGTCAACTTTCTTTAACAGGTAGAAACTTTGACTTACAACACATATACAAGCCTTTCTAGGCATGCTTTTGTTATGCAGATTTAAAGAAGAGCACTGAAAATACCTCATGCTACAGCCCACGTTCTTTTTCCTACACTGACAGGTACGTAGGAAAGATCTCCAACAAAGTTATAGCTCAGACTTTTCAAGAAGGTATGTGAGCATTTCCCCCACCCTTTACTTCCTAGATCATCTGCTTGCAAGTATGATCTACCAGATAATCAGTGCTATGCTGCCACCTCTCTGGAAGCTTACAAGTCCATGATTAAGAAGTCCACAGGTTTAACAGCATTACCCATCTTTTGTGTATTTTTTTTTTTTTTAAATCACATGCCATTGATACAAGCGTTCAAAGCACCTAGTGTAGTTCTGAATGGGCCCTCAAAGAACACACCTACAGGGCTTTTGCTGAACTGGTTACTTTCCAAACATAAAGCAACATATAAACTCATATAAAGGCAGTCACATTTACAGCATTACTGACCAGTGTTCATGCTGGTTATATGGGTCACGCTTCTGCTAAGTGCCAGCGCTTTGAAGTTACCTCTATTCCAATCAGACCAGTGACCACATTTTTCAGTGGGAAACTTCAGAGTAGCATTGGTTGCTGTATACTTACTGACTGTCCTTTCTTGTGTTTACGCCTATATAGAACAGTCCAATTGATTTGACGGGGGTTTCTCTTGGAAAGGAATGCAGACTCACATTTTGCATTCAAGAACTGAAAAACCTGGGAAAGGAAAGTATTTCATGTAAGCTTTGTTTCTAGGAAAAGCATCTGTAAAGTTCACATTAACAGATTTTTTTCCCTCACTCTTTCTCATCACTGACTTTTTTATTTCTGCATTAAGACTACTCTCTCGGATACTGAAATAAGAAATCCTCGTTTTTTGCTATCCGTATCATCTCTCCGTTTCTGACAGTCCTACCTGCATGGGAGGCAGGAAGCACTCTCCTCACTTTTATCCCAGCGATCCGTACCCAACAAACTACAGGCAATTCATTGGTTTCCTTTGGTCACTCCACGCACTCGATGCACTGCCTCTAAACAGCGCTTTTGACGCAGCTTGGCTGTTCCGGGGTGGATGCTTTCCGACACCCTGCCCACAGCACAATCCAAAACCTCACGCTCGAGCAGAGGCGCGGCTCCCTCGCGAACCGGCTCTGAAGGCGGCCGCGACGCCCCT